TCTCTCCGTCTCATACATTGCTGCATATGTAAATCTGAATAAAATCTGGTACACTGAATTATCTGATTGCACATAAACATAACGATTTGAATTCCCCAGACTAAAGACACTGTTGCTATACCTCATGATTCGGGGCAAGCTTTTCGCAAAGCGACCACCATCTCTGGAATGGACTGGTTCCATTGTGCCTTTATCCATTGAGAACAATGTATTGTTGCCAGGCGTCTAAGCAAAAGCTTGCCCCGAATCACGAGTTATAGAGGGATCCCAATACGACGCTTTCAGCGTCGATCTGCGCACTTCCGCATTTGAAAACGAGGCTGTATTTGTCAGCTTCAATTCCTAATACGATCAGATGATTGAAAGTAAGAGTTAAGACACAAAATACATAAAAATATGTTAAATTCAGACTTTCAGGCTACAAATTCTTGTTGAGGAGTCTTTCAGAATGACTCGACACGTAAAATCAAAAGGAGAAAACAATGGCAATTTACCGCGAATTAACGTACCTGCGATGGCCGTGTATCTGGTGCAGTGGGCGTGGTTTAAACTGAAGTGGTGCCACACTTACGAACAGGATACTGCATGTACTTTGTCGACTCCGCGAGTGCGCGCGAGGAAGTTCAACACAGAGAGCCTCGGTTTCGACGCGGATATGCGCAGACGGCGCTAATTTGAAATCCATCTGTAGCAACAGTGGTTTTAGTATGGAGAATTAAAGTTGTTATGTTCACGTGAGTTTAAAGAACTGCGTGTACCAGATTTGGGTCGAAGTTAACTTGCAAAGGCTTACTGGAGGCACTCATTCCATTTTTTTCTCCAACGTATATGCAATGTCGGCCGGGCCTCTTCCCCAAAATACTCACCGATTCGGCTCTTGCAGAAAAATGGGTATTCCCGTCCACAGTCCCTGTTAAACCAAGCACTTCCCTCCTCCGAGGCTTCCATAACCGTGCAATTCAATCGACCCTTGTTATCGTTGGGGTCATACTTGCTCCACTTGGTAAATGTTACCGAATAACCGTCCAACCATTTCAGCTGGTTTGTCACCTGATTGATGCAACAATGCAGATTAGGTCTGAACTGAGTTTGTATTACTATATGGATTTAGAGCGTCAATTCAAACTGCAGGGGAGGATGTCTCGATCAGTGTTGTAGTCAAGACCACTAAAGACCTTCATAAGACCACACAAGGCCAGCAAAAACCAACACAAGACCAGGCTGATTTCAAGTCACAAGCTATTCAAATGAACTGCAACAAAATTATTCCTTTATCATTGTTCACCCTGTCACTTGCAGCTGGTCTTGTGGCTGGTCTTGTGGCGGTCTCGACTACACTACGGGTCTCGGTCCAGTTTAAATCGATTTTATTTTCCGATAAATGATACAAATGAGGGATAAGGGTCTTACCCTCAAAAACGTATATTTCTTGGAAAATGTCAGTTATCAACTCAAAGGCCCAAAAATTCTT